TGCATACCAGGCGATTGAGATAACATCTCGCCACATTGTGTGGGGCCCCCGACGCCTTTAAAACTATACCGTAAGTACATACATCTGAAACCGTGACGGTGAATCACAGCTTCCCCCCCGCCCCCCCAAAGCGCGGGGCCCGGGCGGTCGCCCTCATTCGTCGTGTACCCTCGGGACGAGCTCTGGGCGTAACCCTTTGGGCGAGCGGGGTGTGGGCGGCGTGAACTCAGTGGGGGCTCGGAGCTCCCCCTGTGCGGCCGTGGCCCGGCGCCACCTCGCGGGGTCGCGCCCAAAGTAGCCCGGTTCGTGCAGAATCCGCGTTGGCCACGGTACAGCCGCGGGGCTATCGACGCCGTGGGTTCCCTTTTGGGTAGAGCAGCATCGCCACCTCGTGGGCCTCTTGACGCAGTGCGATATGTGGGCGCCACGGTGGCGAGCTGGTTAACTACCTCTCCTGGTGTACAGGAGGTAAGTGGGTTCGATATCGACCCTGACCGCCTTTTGCTGTATATTTTGAGTTTTACGTGTCTCTCTCCGGGTCCTCCGGTTTTTCCTTCCACATTTAGAATCATGCGCTTATATTATTTGGCTGATAGGCATTTCCACACGATGAGGCACTTCGTTGAGCTATCATTTGTGGCCATGTCGATTCTGAAAAAGAGCTACTTAGCTCAGTGGGCCTCACTTGTTAAAATAAAAATATATATTTTTTAATCGTTTCATTTGTTGCATTCCTCCTCGGTCTGTCACCTTTCTCTCTCCTTTTCTTTGGTTCTATCTCATCACCCACGTTGCTTGGGTTTCGGTCAAAGCTCCCCGCGTTCCCCTTCAGGATGTTGGGGTTCTCTCATGCACAAGCATGGTATATCCACAGAGGCCAGTGGGTCAAGTGGGTTTCGATGACATCCGTCAGGGCTAGCCAAGGACATTACGGCCACACCCCTGCGCACACTCGCAGCGAGTGAGGTCTGGGTCATCTTCACTGACGAGCCTCAGCCATTCGTGGAAATCCCATATTCCCATGGCGGAGACTAGTGTATCCATAGGACAACCATTGTTAACTTTTTCACAGCGCGGAAAATGTTGTATCGACCCCTGGCAGATGATGAACTGAATCGACCCGAGATTGGGATATGAACTTCGAACATTCATATCGATCGGTAGACGCAGTCTATAATTCGACGGTACAGGGTGTGTGTGTGTGTGTATACAACAAGCTGAGCCAGGCCACTAAATGCAGCCTCCGATACGTAAGGAGATCTGCGGCTGCGCAAAGAAATTTGCGCACAAATAATACACGCAGATGTATACAGACTCGCACAAGACACCCGTTCATTGACTTACATGGAGACCCACAGACTTACATGGAGACCCATTAACTCGCACTGAGGCGCAGGTCGCGCGTGATGCTGGGCTAAGTCTGGATACGCCCACCTCTTCCACGGTGGCGAGACTTTTAACTACCTCGCCTGGTATACAGGAGGCATGGGTTCGATCCCGACCCTGACGCCTACTGTGTATTCAGTTTGCTTGTCTTTTTACCCGTGGTCCCGTGGATTTTTCTCCGAATCCTCCGGGGTTTTTCCATCCACATTGAGAATCAACATCAAGCGTTGAGAATATTTGCTGCTATACATTTCCACGTGATGAGCTACTTCGTTGATCTACCATTCGTGGCCAAGTCGCTTCTGAAAAAGAGCTATATGGCTCATTGGGCCTTAACTGGTAAAACGGATAATAGTTTATTTCAAGACGTTTGGTCAGCATCGAAGAGTAGGCCAAAATAGCCGCATGGGTTCCCTTTCGTGGTGCACCTTCGCCAGCAGTTTCCTGATGAGGCAAGAGTCGTGTCGCGCCTTTAACCTTTTGAGAAATGCGCGCGATCGTCCCACGAATGTCCAACATTCCACTGGAAACGGTTATCGGTTACTGGAACCGGTAATTGAATGAGGAAACGGTTACCCGTTTATATGCTACGTTTTAAAACCCATATATACAGACTCACAGGGTTATACTGACATACACTGTAGACGCATACACACGAAGAGACCCATAGAGTTACATAGAGTACGTGTTCTGAAGATCTTGTGCCACCAACAGACACACGCGCGCTATGGTGGTTGGTGGCTTCTTACCGCGAACGCTTAATTCATCATGAAGCCTCATGCGCGCTGACGATGTTGGGATCACATTCGCAATGTTGAGCCTTAAGACTAATCTTTTTTCAAGAGCATTTCCCTCTTCCACTTCCGGTCCGCATCCTTAAAACCTTCACCATCCTCCCCCATCCCCTTCCTAACATCACCATATCACCACCCTTCCTTGCCACCCCTTCCCCTCCCCAACACTCAAACCCCATCACTTTTCCCCATCGGGAAAAGGTGAAGGGGGCGAGACTGTCTGGTAGGACAGCACTCCTTCACCTGATGAAGGCCGCTTGTGTTGTGGCCGAAACGTCGTATGAATATTATTGTGTTATTTTATTTTATCAATTTATTATTTTATTATCATTCTACGTGACTTTACCGAAAGAACCAAAGAAAACAAATATTAATGTTTCATTAGTTATTGGCCGATGGGGAAAAGTGATGGGGTTTGAGTGTTGGGGAGGGGAAGGGGTGGCAAGGAAGGGTGGTGATATGGTGATGTTAGGAAGGGGATGAGGGAGGATGGTGAAGGTTTTAAGGATGCGGACCGGAAGTGGAAGAGGGAAATGCTCTTGAAAAAAGATTAGTCTTAAGGCTCAACATTGCGAATGTGATCCCAACATCGTCAGCGCGCATGAGGCTTCATGAAGGGGGCGAGACTGTCTGGTAGGACAGCGCTGGAGTGCTGTCCTACCAGACAGTCTCGCCCCCTTCACCTGATGAAGGCCGCTTGTGTTGTGGCCGAAACGTCGTGAGAATATTATTGTGTTATTTTATTTTATCAATTTATTATTTATTATCATTCTACGTGACTTTACCGAAAGAACCAAAGAAGATGAATCATTGCAGTCACGAAAGCTTTAAATCGAAAATTAATATTTGTTGTAAAGCGCTTTGAAGAAAGCGCTATAGGTCCTTGATAAGATAAGTGTCGTCTAAAATCACCCTCGATTTAAATAGAGGCGGCTTAATGCACCATCGCAATCCATTTGTGGAGATTAATTCTGGACTTGAACACGGACAGGGAGCCAACAGCACGCGAGACTGCGAGCAGAGAGTGAATGGCTATGGCAGGCAGCAGAGGAGATTGGACTATTTTTTTTACTTTTTGTTGTTATTTTACCAGGTAGGGCCCCACTGAGCTGTATAGTTATTTTCAGAAGCGACCTGGCCACAAATGATAGCCCAACGAAGTGGCTCGTCGTGTGGAAATTGCTTTCAGCCGAATAATCTAAGCGCATGTAAAATTATCTAGGTGTGGCGAGAAAAATCCACACAACGACGGGGAGCACGTGAAAACTCCAAATATACAGCAGCAGGCGTCAGTCTGGATCGAACCCACGACCTCCTGTATACGAGGACGAGTTAGTTAACATCTCGCCACTGTGGCGCCCATTTGAACATCATCATCATCATCACCAAAATCATCACAAACGATGAATGCGATTTCATCTTCTTGGTTTTTTATTTCCATTCTACGTGACTTTACTCTACGTGACTTTACCGAAAGAACCAAGAAGATGAATCCCTGCAGTCACGAAAGCTTTTAATCGAAATTTAATGCGATTTCAATCTTAACGGTTGAATCGGACCCGGATTGGACGACTTGCGAGTTCTTGTTCGAGCAGTCCCCGTCGATTTCCGCCGACACAAACATCGCGCCAAATCGGCGGAATATTGCGGCGGAGACGACAGGTGGTGAGACACGGGGGGACGGGTGTGGGATTGAGGATAAGGAGGGCAAGGAGTCGGGGAGGGGGTGGAAAGAGGTGGGACGTGGATATAGGGGAGGGGAGAGAAGGAGCTGCGGTGGGAGGGTGGTGAGGGTGGGGGGGTCGGAGAGGTGGGAGGGGGACAGAGGGGAGGGAGCAGGGAGGGGAAGCAGGTGGGGAAGAGGTGGGAGAAGGAACCCCCACTGCGCTCGCGCGCTCTGATTGGCTCGCGACTCGTGAATCGCACGTGCGCGCGACCCGGGACCGATAAAGAGGCCGCGCGCAGAGCCCGGGGTTTCACACCGCACCTGCACCGGTACTGCACCGGGGGACCACGTCCCATCTGGATCCGAACCGTTCTCTACTACCGAGACCCGCATCGCCGTGCCCTAAGAAACGGGCTACCCTCCAACAGAACCACTCCGCACGGAGCACCCCACCGACACCCCGCACCGGACTGAATCGATACACACCTCTTACACCCGGTCAACATCTGTACATGCATCCACCCCATTATTCTTACACCTGGTGCCCTACACTTGTAGGCGACATCTAGAACCGTGCGTTACACATCGAGACGCGAGCGCTAAGTTCAGCCGTTCGCTTTGCTCGAACGGACGCTCACAGACCTGACGCAGTCGCAACAGCAGCGACCCACTCCACCTGCACGCCACACACCCTGACGGAAACATACTCCACCTGCACGCCGTACCAAAGCACGCGCATATTTATACAACACGTGCATACCCACGCAGCGGTACATACACAGGTGCACATATACTGTGTGTGTGTGTGTACACTGGTATACACACGTGCATATAACGCAAGCGCACATAGACGAGTACGTACACGTACGAGTACAACACGGGTACGGCAAGATACGCGTGTACACAGACACACGCGGCGAACACAACGCGTAGACACGCACGACCGCTCGTGTGCACGTGTGCAGACACACGAGCACGCTCACACGTGTGCTCACACCCACGCGTGTACACACACGTGTACACACACCCACGCACGTGTACGCTCACCCACACGTGTACATCCACACACGTGTGCTCACCCACACGTGTACACCCACACACGTGTGCTCACCCACACGTGCGCTCACCCACACGTGCACTCGCCCACACGCGCACGTGTGCCCACACACTCGTGTACTGACCCACGCGTGCACACGGGGAGACGCATGCGCGCACGCAGCATGGACGCCGTACTGGAGCAATTTGTGGACATGGAGCGCTTCTCCTCCTCCTACCTCATCGACGACGACGACGACTTCTTCAGCGACGAGGGCGGCGGCTCCTCGTCGCCGCGCGACCAAGTGGACCTCATCATGTGCGACAGCGTGGACTACCTCGCGCACTCCCTCAGCGACTACTACCCCGAGGACGACGACGACGAGGAGGAGGAGGAGCAGCAGGATCGCCAGCGGCAGCAGCACCACCACTCACATGGACAGCAGCCGCGTGGAGATCCCGGGTCCCTTCTGCTCGCGGTGGGAGGCTGCGCCTCGCGGTTGGAAGAGGGCGGCTTCCAAGGTGGCGTGGGGACACCGTCTGACCCTGCTGCTCCTGGTGGCGGTGATGGGTCCGCGCCTCCGACGCATCGGAGGTCATCGGGCAGGAGGCGAAGGTCGCGCGTCCACGGCGACATGTCCCACCTGCGGCAGGCGGCCAACCAGCGGGAGAGGAGGCGCATGCAGTCAATCAACGCGGCCTTCGAGGGCCTCCGCGCGCACATCCCCACGCTGCCGTACGAGAAGCGGTTGTCCAAGGTGGACACTCTGCGCCTCGCCATCGGCTACATCTCCTTCCTGGGCGAGCTGGTCCACTCGGAGAGGCCCCTCCGCGCACAGGCGGGGCAACCGCTGCTGTCCCAGCAAAAGAAGATCATCATCTGCCATCGCGCGTCCAGTGAGTGAACTTGACTCCTCCTCGTCTGTTTTCCTCATCTTCTTCCTCCTCCTCCTCGCAGCACGCGTGTTTCGGCTCGTGTCATCTCTCGTGTGGCTCGCTGTGTCCTCGATTGAGTATCTTCCGTGTCGCTGTTAGACCAGATTCGGTACGTGCCGAGTAGCCCAGAGCGTAGCGAATATATCTACTCTACTGTATGTGGTGTCCATAATACATTTTTTTGTTGAGATCGCGTAAATATAAATGTGTCGTTAAACCCGCCACCACCCGACGCAGCCAATTAGTAAGGTTTGTAACGTCAAAAAATATGAAAAATCGTTACGAGTACAGCACACCAGTGTGTTGGAGAGCGAACCCGCAACATTTACAATCTGAGTGCGACGTTTTGCCAGTAATTACAACTAGCTTCATCAGGCGACAGCCAGATTTCGTTGTAATCGGATTGTAAATGTGGATTTGATCTCCAACACACCGGTTTACTGTACTAGTAACGAACTGGAATGTTCTGTTTACGTGACAAACCTTACTAATTGGCTGTGTCGGGTGGTTGCGGATTTAACGACGTATTTATATTTACGCGATCTAACCCATAAAAAAACTGTATTATGGATAGTATTGGTCGCGAAGGCCCACGTGTTAAACTGTATGTGGTGTGCCGGGTACGGAAATATTGTCCGACTCGTTGATCCGGACAGACTCGGATGAAAGCAAGCCATGGTCCTGTTACATGGCCATGTTTGGTCAATCCATTATCGTTTGGGTGGAAACTGGAGTACCTGGAGAAAACCCATCACGCATGTGAGGAGATATCACCCAAAAGGTCCGCACAGATGGATTAAATGGCATATCGGTGTACTCTTACCTACTGGCCACCTGCCGCAGCCCAATCCTACAGTACCTGTTATTCCCAGACAGTCTGGCATCCAGGTACCAACCAAGCTCAGACCTGCTTAGTTTCGCAGTGATTTGGTCGTAGGCTGCGTGAATGCATCTGTCTCTCTGTGAGTCTGCGAGGATCGGGTGACCCAGCGTTAGACTCCTGGCCGAGGCTATCAGCGGCGAGTCATCTGAACCAGCACTGGGCCGCCATCCCCCGTCAATTTTGCCGTAAATGAGTTCCTGGTGCGTTGTATAGCTATCAACACGGGACACATTAGCGGGCAGGGCGTTGTTTTGACCGCACCGACTCCCCATGCTTCGTGTTGGCCGTAACAGGTGCTTGCCCGAACAGTCTGTATGGCTTCGTGGGGAACCTTTGTCTGTTCTGCCACTCTGCCTCTTTATAAGTTGTGAGTTTGAAGTTTGTTCTGAATATTAAACTACTCTGTGATATTTATTTAGATAGTGTTTGCTATCTATATTTATGTTGCGCATTTGTTGATATATTATGGGGGATAAACGATCGTATGGCTAAAAAAATAAACGTAACTTGATTAAGAAGTAATACCTTCAATACCTGGACAAATACACGTCCGTATGCCTTTGTTTCGCATCATCACTCTGTCCCCCTTCATCTCTACACAGCATCAGAATATGTATTCATACCGGAGGAATCCGATGACCTATAAACTCTTTTCCACAGATGTTCAGTACTCTGTCGCTCCTTCCATCCCTCCTCTTTCTCCTTGTCTCTGCCTCCCGCTCAACCCCCGCTCTCTGTCTCTTGACTGTCTCTCCCTCGCGTCTCTCCGTTTCCACGTGGCGCACGCACGCAGGGTCACCGTCCGCGGCTCTCTCCCCAGGTTTGTCGTCGGGTCTCATCCCGCTTGCCGGACATTCGCTCTCATGGACGGACGAGAGGCAGCGCCGAGAGCGACACGTGGTCCGCACGGCCCGGGTCTGGACCCCCGAGGATCCCCGCTCCCCGGAGGGTGCTGACGCGCTGGGAGAGGGCCCTCTATGACCGCCCCACCCCGTACGAATCCCCAGGCATCCTTGCCCGCACGCGCGGCGTTCATCCCTCCAACCTCGTACACGGGGATCTGACCCACGGCGGCCAAGCGGGTGACCCTGTGGAATGGACTGGCACCATGGATAGGCTGGTTCCCGCGCTGCTGAAAATGTGGAATTTTCACCACTGGCCCAGGGCCGCTGCGGGCAACAAATTAAGCAACTAAAAGTTAGGTACGGCAGAAACCGGTCATTACGGTAAGCGATTTGGTCGTTAAGCGAGTATAGGAAATACACGGTTAAAGGGTTCATTCGTTCCGATAGCATCGAAAGTTACACTTTTCACCCCAAAAACGTGCTTTTTAATATGTAAGCAATGGATATTAATACACGAAGGTACTATCAACATTATGAACACATGTTAAAAGAAACATGGTTAATACGTGCATTCATTAATATTTACTGTATCTACAACAGCGATTAGTCGTTAACAGCAGGGGTGGTCGTTAAGAATGGTTCTAATGTTTAAGGACTTTGGTTTAATCGCTTTGATGAAAAAAATTGCAACTAAGCCATTAGACAAAAAATGCTTTCAGATAAAATTCACCCCAAGTGGGATGCATCTTCCATTAAAATGGTAGTGTGGTGCAACGTGGATCTCGCGAGTTCAAATCCAGGTCGCGAGTCGAATTATCATCATTCCCACGGGGTGGATAAATGAGACCAACTTAGTGGGACATCGGGAATGGTTATCTTTTGGATGAACCAGCCCCTGGCAAAGAAATGGGGAGTGTCCAACAATGTCTCAGGGACCGTCAGTGACAGGGAGACGCTCAGTCTTGGCTGTATTCTATAAGTTACGTAATAACGTTACGTAGTAACTTATAGAATAGTTACGTAGTAACTTATACAAAAATTGCTATAATGCAATTGTGCTATACAAGAACTGTATAAATGACTTTGTAAAATGTGATGAAATGTACCGTATTGTCTCGCGTTATTAAAACCGACTCGACTCCATCACGCACATGTGCCGCAATGTTCTCAATTCATCACTGGATGAGGGCCTACTTGACCATACTTACTTTGTCGGGATGTTACCTACCTTGCCTGGTATACAGGAGGTTGCAGGTTCGATCCCAACCCTGACGCCTGCTGTATATCTGTAGTTTGCGTGTCTCTCTCTCTCCCCGCGGTCGCGTGGACTTTTCTTCGGGTTCTCACATTTAGAATCAACATCACGTCTTCAGAGTATTTGGCTGTTATACATTTCCACGTGGTAAGCCACTTCGTTGGGCTATCATTTGTGGCCAAATAGATTCTGCAAAAAGAGCTACTGTATATGGCTCAGTGGGCCTTCCCTGGTAAAAAAAAAATTAGTTTACTTCACCACGCCGGTCAATGCGGGTTGGTTATAACGTTGAGCATAAACGTGGTAACACACGAACACAGTACAACAACAGATGCTGCTGCTCTCCCCTCTGCTGATCACCCAACAAGCACAGCCACGCGGTCGACCCGTTCACCACTACACCGCAGGCTCAAACATTTCTGAGCCTCCCAGCAAACGAATAAGCTCGTGGCGCGTTCGGTGATAAGCGAGCAGCACCACGAAAGTAAGAATCGTAGTTCATTAAGTTGCACGTGGATTGCGGGGAGAGCATTACCAATACCATGAATACGCTCCCCCCCCCCCCCCCCCCGAGTTACATCACCCCTCGCCCCCCAACAACAAGGCAAACTGGTGGGAGGTATGAAGCGATTCACACCCCCTCCCCACACGATTACATTATTCGTCACGATTCATGGTCACGTTTCGAGACATTAATCGGTGTTTTTTTGTGTCTAGATTATTTCGATTATTTTGCTGCTGTGTATTTCCACGTGATGGTGAGCCACTTCGTTGAGTTATCATTTGTGTCCAGGTCGCTTCTGGAAAAAAAGAAGCAAATGGGCCAGTGGGCATTACCTGATATTGATCAAAGAAATAGTTTATTTTTATTTGTATATATTTTGAATGTGATGTATTTACCTTGTCTATAATTTGCACTCCTATCGTGTTTTTTTGCAATTGTGTGTTGTTGTACCGTTCTCACCTCCCGACCGGTAATCTGTGAAAAAGAGCTTTATAGCTCATCGGATTCCTCCAGTATAAATACATATCCTGATTCTGTTGTCTCGTTTGTGTTGGCTGCCTCGTGTTCTTGGTGTCGCTCGTTCAGTCCCGTGAGTTCATTGAGGCTAAATGCAACATTTGCATAAAATTTGCATACGCTTTACATATCATCTGCACATAACAGTATATGTATAGCCACGCCAGGCCGTTATGAAAGGCGGACGGGGGTGATCATGATAATGATAATTATAGAAGGCGGTGGACGAAAGCGGCTTGCAAGAGAACGTTGGGAAATTGTTAGTTGATAATGAGCAGTGGCTCACGCTCGTGATGGAAGAAGAAGGCCCTCAGTCTATGCGTGGCGTACGGATCCTCTTCAGCCAGTAGTGGATTGGCCAAGGAAGGGTAAATTATCAACACGAGACAGCACCAAAACAAACACAACAACAACAACCGCCATTCGCCACTAAGTGGCGGTGACGTCACCACGACGCTTGTGCCAGGCCATGTGCACCTTGAGGCCACGTGAAGTGTCGAACGCCCGCTGGCAGGAGGTCACGGGGCAGACCCAGATGCCACGGGTCGACTGACTGAGATGACCGAGATGACACAAATACACACACATAGAAACACACGCAGACACACACAAATACACACACACACAGTCACACACAGACACAAACACAGTAACACACAAACACACAGACGCACGTACTGACACACACAGACACACACAAATACACACAGACACACACACAAACACAGTCACACACAGACACACAAACACACAGACGCACGTACTGACACACACAGGCACACACAAACACACAGACGCACGTACTGACACACACAGACACACACACACATGCATACATACGCAACACACACGGCGCTCTTGTGGCAGAGCGAAACACGAAGGCGTCTTCCCCCCCTCCCCCACCAAGTTTGAAGTCTTGCGAGTCAAATGAAGACTTCAAATTCACATTCATTGCACGCCGCGGTGACGTCAGGGCGGTGACAATTTAGTCCTGTGACGTCACTGGAGCCCACCTGACGGATTTAAAACGAACATTTTTGGTCTCTCTAGCTAAGCTTTTAAAATCGCGTGGGACAGGTTACAGGCAAGACAATACGTCCATATTTTAACGTAAAAATTGCATTTTATATCCGTCCATCGAAATAATAACCCCCCCCCTCCCCCCCGCTGCCGAACCAATGTATCTAAAAATTGTTGTTGTTTTAAGCAGAGGCTTTCAATTTGTTTCGGGTCTCGTCAGCAAGGGCGAGGCTGTTAAAACCCAGAAAAATAAAAACTACTTCTGCCTTTTTAGCCATGCGCCGGAAAAGAAAACGTCGCTTCTCAGGCCGATCTGAGGCTCCCCACCCAAAAACGCGTGAAATCAGACACGGTTTAGGCGGCGGGAAAATATTCTATTCAAAGGCTTGAGATGGCATTTTTTTTGTCAGCAAAGAGGTCTTGGTACTTTGTTTTTAAACCGTAACGTCTAAGATGCGAGAGGTCCCTGCCCCCGGCTCGCGAAATCACGCGGGAGATGAGCTTCCCTCGGCCTTGTGAAACATCCCTTGCTGCACAGGAGTAGCTAGTTGGCCAGGCCACCATGCAACAGTGGATATGATCCCGGGGTACGAGTATTATTGTTGTGCATCACAACTGTCACACCACAGTCAATTAATGCACCATGCAGGGTGCTGTGCAACCGACGGGGGTTGGAAGATTCCTCAGAATAGGAAAGCGTCAGAAAGCTGGGGGAAGGGGGGTGGCGAGGGTTAACGATGTATCGATTATTTAGGACTCTTGACATCCATGTCATCGTGGGGTGCATAATAATCGATATGTTTCGCTTCGTACGCATTGCCATAACAGCAGAGAGGTACACGTGGCCCTTTCAGCCCCTTACAGGCCGCTATTTTCACCACACCGGCGATGTTTGTTGTATATATATATTTATTTACGGTGCTGTGTGTTATTGCATCGAATAGCGCGAACTTAGTTCGCGACAATTGACCGAATTGCAGGGGAGAGGGGGGGGGGAATGGGGGGAGGGGCTGGGGGAGAGGCGCGGGAATCAATAAACCCTCGCGAACACACAAACGATCGATACCGTAATTGATGTATTGATCCCGCCACCTTCAGATAAGATAGCGGACAAGGTCAACACACAACATCACACACACACACATCCACGGTGATTGGCCACCGAGCAAAGCGACACGTGGCTCTGTACGACCTCTTGAGGCCATGCCCGTACCGAGACGCTATACAAATGAAAATAATCGTTAAAGACTCTTTGTAAATGAAGACCGAAAACACCAGGAGGATTTCTCCACAACTCTTATGAGGCTGCTTGTAATCGAATTGTAAATGCTGTGGGTTTAGTCTCCAACACACCGGTGTACTGAACTAGTAACTAATTGGCATGTTTTGTTTACGTGACAAACCTTACTAATTGGCTGTGTCGGGTGGTGGCGGGATTAACGACACATTCATATTTACGGAATCTAACCCCCCCAAAAAACCCTCGATTATGTATAATATTGGTCGCGAACGCCTACGTGTTAAACTGGCTAATTGTACGTATGTATGTTGAACTTTTTTCGCACCGAAATGTAGCCAGCCGTGCTCATCGGAGGTGCTGGGGAAAGATAAATAAACCAAACACACAAAAGCAGTTCACAGTAATTAACAGGTCGTCGTGAAAATCCACTGCTGGCTGAAGGCCTACCCGTGCGATGGAGGTTGTTTTGACCATACTTCACCACGTTGATTGTTAGAGGGGAGGCAAAGGTTGAATTGACACGAGAGCAGTTTTCCGTCTCGCAGTGCAACATTGCTTAGCAAACAAACGTCTGCAACAGTAAAACACTCATGAACTTATTAAGATTTAAACTCCTAATGCGACTGAAGTACTGCATTATTGGAGCTGATGCGTACCAGCACGGGTCACAGTGCTGTAGCAAACGAGTCACAGATTTGCGTGGGTGAGCGAGTTCATAGCCGCGCGCATTATAGGTACTGCTCGCTAACAGCACTTGCCCCAACAGTCTGTTCAGGCTACACGGTGGTCGTAGTCTTTACAGCTGCACATGATGGGGAGCACCTGGCTAGGCGTTAACGAACCTGTTCTGCAGTTGCTCTCTGCTCCGAAGACGGGCTATTGCCCAAAACGTCAGCCTATTATATATTCTTGGTTCTTTCGGTAAAGTCACGTGGAAGGGAAACAATAAAATAAAACAAATATAAAACAATAAATTATATTTTTATTTTTATTATTTTATTGTTTCCCTTCTACGTGACTTTTACCGAAAGAACCAAGAATATTAATCCCTGCAGTCACGAACGCTTTAAATCAACATTTATTTAATATATATGTTATATTGCAGTTAATGACAAATGTGAGTAGTTATTTGGAATTGTATAAATACAAAAACACCATGACACGTGCTCATCTGCACCCGCCCATACACTTTGACTTGATTTAAAGTCGAACCGTGATACGATTGCTGCAGTCGTGGCTGCAGATTCTGGGGGTGGGGGCGAGATGGGCAGGAGCGTTGGGGGGGGGGGGTTGACCCTAAATGTATGCACACGAGACCGCGCCTTGCTCAGGCACCTCCAACACTCGGCAACTCACGTGTCCCCTTTCCACGTGTCCACCAAAACACCACGGAGGTCGTTTCCTTTGTCACGCGTTTATTTTCCACCAAATTTCCAGCTAAGGCTTTCGTTTCCAGCATCGCTGCGGTGACGCGATGTTAACTCCCTCGCCTGGTATACAGGAGGTCGTGGGTTCGATCCCGACCCTGACGCCTGCTGTTGTATATTTGGAGTTTGCGTGTCTTTCTCCCCGTGGGCGCGTGGATTTTTTTCCTGGCATTTGCGTTTAGAGCGGCGGTTCTTAACCTTATTTATATTACGATTGACAACCACGGGGT